ATAACCTTTACTATGTCCCAAGGAAGACCAAGAAAGTATGCCACTGCTATTGCTAGCAAAGAGGCAAGAAAAGAACGCGACCGACTACGATATTTGCAAAAGCATCAGCCTCAGTGCCCCCCTGAGTTTATTGCATATGAGCCTCTCCTCCCTGGAGATATACCACGCCCAACACCTACCAATACAGGACTACGCATCAGCTCAGACATCCCTATACCAAGAGATAGAACAAGTGAACATAACCCAACACTGCTGGATAAGCACCCAGAGTGGCAGCTATCTGCTGCTCCCTCTCCAGTCATCAATGATCCAGAGTATACAAGAGAGGTAGAAGAGCTTCAAGAAGCAGAGAAAGAGCAGAACACTGAGCTAGCAGAGCATAATGCTGCCATAGCAGAGTGTATACAAGAACTAGATGACAGAGTTAGAGAGCCATTGATGGGTCTACAGAAAAGCAGAGATTACCATGGAATGGCTATAGACACTGCACCTCAAGAATTGGAAGGGTTGTATCAAAACACAAGTACTAGAAACACACCACAACAAGAAGAGCAAGAAGAACAAGAAGAACAAGAGAAAGGTGACTGTACTAGTACTAGTGCAGGAGCAGGCAATTACCAGGCTGCAGCTTGGGAAAGAGTTTGTGAAGAGAAAAGAAGGAACAGGCACACACAAAACTCTTCAATCACAGTTACAGCTGCTCAAACAGAAGGTGTAGGCCAAGAGGATGACAGCAGCTCTCTTGACCTACAAGATTCTGCTACACCTACACAAACTGTAGAGCAGCAGCAATCTCCAAATCAAGGAGCATCAATTGCCTCCTTACCTTCAAGTACTACAAGCAAGAAACGCAAGAGCCCATTCCCTACCCAGAGTAATACACTCTTGAGTTATTTCCAGCCAAGGCCTACAAGCATATCACCTGCTATTCCAAGGACTCCTCAGCCAGCACACCTACACTCTATCAGTAGAACACCTCAGTTAGGCCATCAGCCTTCTGTTGGTAGTGTAACTGAGCCAGAACATCACTCTTCTGCTGGCATTGGAACCCAGACAGAGTCAGTTGAGAGCACTGCTTCTAAACTTGCAAGGCAACTTTGCTACTTCCATGGATGTACCCACCAAGACCATGCAGAGCAAGAGCTGTCACACAATAGACACCACCAAAGGGATGATGTTCACTCTGAGTGTTCCTCATTTGAGTCAATCACTAGGCTGCTATGTGGAGACTACAACAATGGGACTCCTCTTCCAGATGTCCTGAGCAATCCTTGTTTCAAGAGGGCAGAAGGCTTAGCAGATGGCATTGACTGTCAGGGTGCCTTTGAAGGCACAAGTCCTATAGCCTTGCCTGATGACAGTGGGACACGCAATGAGAAGCTGCCCTTAAGCCTCTGCATGTCCAAATACTATCAAAGCAGCACCACAGCCCGTGTTCCTAAGACCACATTTGACATTGACAGCCTCTGCTGCTTTCCTAGCAGCCTTGGCTTTGCTCGTCAAGGCATTCACTGGCTACCTTATGCAAGCACTGTGCTCAACCTGAGCCACAACATCCACTTCAGTCTCAAGGTCCCAACATATAACCCAAAGGGAGAGCTATGTCAGACAGATCAGCCACTCCATAAGATTCCACATTACTGTTTTGGAACAGCCATTGGCATGGAGTCAGTTCAGATCTACATCTTCTTTCCAGAGCTACATCTTGGAAGTGGTAATGAGCACAGTACATTCCTTTGCAATGAGGACTTCAAGCTTTGGTATGACTCTGTGCTTATGCCAGCTATCCAGAAAAGTGTAGCAGATTCCAATGTTCTGCAGCACTACCCTGTGTCTGCTGAGGTTGCACGTCTAGATGCTACTGTGCTGTCAGCTGAGACTTTTGCAAAGAAGAGCTCCTCAAGAGAACAGCTTCTCAAGTATGCTCTACAGCCACAACATCTGCACCAAATCTGGACTTGTATTCAAGACAGCGTTGCTTGCAATCCCTTGTTTAGTCGCTTTAGAGGTGCTGCACTCTTTGCACACTCTAAAAACACTAAGCTAGAGTACATGACTGAAGACCTGAGTACTACATTCTGCAAGTGGCAGAACTCTTGGTCTAGAGTCACTGATCCACAGTTCTGCAGTAAGGACTCTACCTTTGTTGATCTTGGGAAGCAAGTCACTTCAGAGGATAGCAATCTTTTACACAACACTGTACCAAGCATGCACAA